AGATTTTTATTAGGTATTTTAGATAGTATATTCTTTGTTAACAAGAGTATATGTAGCCACATGTACAACTTTTGGTCACCTATTTAAGTAGTCTGTCCAAAAGTTTTACACTATATGTCATACCTGTAATCTAACTAGAAGATTACCTATTTAAACTCTCTGATGACCCCATCCTGTACCATCCACCACAATCATGCCGCATATAACCTTATGCTGCTTCTTATTGAAGACCACCCAGATCAACATCTGCTATACTACTTGTGCTCTAATTTTATAAATAATCCAGTAGGATTCTAATATTACCAGGTTGCTCTAAGAAGGGTGTAGTACATACCTCTAATCTTTATATGTCTTAAGCATTTCCAGATTAGGCTATGAATACCTTCTTCAGCAGCTGAAACCACTATTAGCGGTCAGGGCTAACTATTAAACTGCACAATTCCAGTATTTAGTGCCCTTACAAGGTTTATCTTAATTCTGATACCCACATCAAACTAGTCCTTATACTAATCCCTTTCCAACTACCAAACCAGTTAGCCTGGATAGGTTGTTGTATCTAGGCTTTAGGTGCCTTTCGATTTTACTTCTCTTGGTTTTTAATTTTATAGTATAAGACCTTTTCCTTTGATGTGACTCTAGTAGCCAGATTGGTGAACCCTTCTTGCTTCAGAGTTTTTGTTCAGTTCTTTGATTCTGGCTTTTCTGTAATATTGTCAAAGATCTTCACTATTTCCTTACTTGGGTTTTGCCAAACGGGTTTCAATTATTTCAGTTCCTTAGATTTAGATCACCCAAAAGCTTCTATTTTGAGATAGTAATACCAAGATTACAGGTGATATATTCAACTGATTATCGAATAGTTGTTACTAGTACACAGGCCTATTTTTTTAAAAACGTCTCTAGTGAGAATTGAATTCTAGACCTGTTGCTTGAGGTGACAACTTAACCACTACTCTAAGTCACCACACCCTAATTAATAATTTTTAAAAATTGTTTAAAATTATAAATAATATTTTTAAAAGAGAATTTTTATTTGTATATAATATGTATATCAGTTATATGGTATAAATTTTTGTATATTGTAAATCAGTAATATATGAAATTAAATAGTCTATATTTAGTTTGTATATTTAATTAGTATATATAAACAAGATAATATATTATGATAAGATCAATAAACTCATTTTAGATAACTAATAATAAATATATTATTTTAGCAAAATAGAAAAGATAGTTTGTATATTATTTTTCTTATTAATTATTTATGCCAAACTTATAACTAACAAAAAAATTTTAAAGAAAAGCAAAAGAAATAACTATACAAGTAATAGTTTTTACAAAGATCAAGGTTTTCTTGCTTGTTTACTAGACTTATCTAAATATTTAGCAAAGTTAAAAGCATTTTTGTACAAGATAACTAGCAAGAAGATGGTGCTCTTGCACAAAAATTTTAATAAATAAAGTAAAAAGATAGTTAGTTTAAAAAAAATAACAAGTAAGTTCTTAATACATTCTTTATTAAATTTAAGGCTACTTCAAATTAAAACCCTTTTTAATATTCTAATTGCTGCACTTTTAAAATATTACTAAAAAGTAAAAAATCTAGCAGACTCACATCAAAAAATTAATAACAATAATCATTATTAAAAAAGAAATATATATACATATATATATACTTTGGAATAAATAATATTAAATGATCTTCTACCTAAAGGTTATAAACATCAAGTCTTAACTTAGTTGAATATATAACCTAGAACAAAAAGCATTGTAATTAATTTGTATTGCAAAGTTTTACTAGAAATGCAATAAAAATTTTGAACTTGGATCTTTACTTAAAAATAAATAGTTTTGAAAAGTTTTATATTCTAGATAAATATAAATAGCTAGTATAAAGTTTAAACTACCTTATTTAATAGTACTATATAATTTTTATAATTTTATATAAATTTAATAGAAGTTCTATTAATTTTACCAAACTCACTTCAAAGACAATTTATTTTACTGACAATTATTTTACTGACAAGCTTATTTTACCAACAATTAATTAACTGACAATTAATTTATAAATAAGCTTATTTTACTGACAAGCTTATTTTATTGACACAATATTTACTGACAATTACTTTACCAACAATCTTATTTTACCAACAAGCTTATTTTACCAATACAATTCACTGACACTATGATTTACTGACAAATTATAAAGTATTATACAAGTATTGTTAAATAAATATATGCAATTTTAAAAATAGATTATTATAAATTTATAATAATCTATTATTAAAATTACATGTTTTTATTTGATGATAGGTAAAAAAAGAACCAAATTATAAAATTTTATAAAAATAAATTAAGGGTAGAGGATACTGTAGATTATTTTCATATAATATGCATGGCAAATTAATACTTATATAGATATAAGAATACGCTACTTATAAAAATTTTTGAAAATTCAATTAATTTTTATTAAAATTTTATAATTTTATATATTAAAATATGCTCTTTCTAATGATATAAATTTTAATATCCACATTATTTTAAGAAACCATATTTGCATATATCATGAAGTTGCTGCAGTGATCTCAAATTTGCTGAGATTACACAAAATCGTTAATTTTGATTGGTTATATCAAATGATTATCATATGATTTTTATAAACAAAAAATCAATACTCAATTTTTAAATGCATATTTCTCAGTGAATATTTAATCATTTTAATAATTTTATTACCATTAGAATCAGAAAAACCTATTCTACAAATTTATTATAAATTTTAAAATAACTTACTTAATAAAATTTTCTTTAATTATAAAAAGAAAAATTTTTGCCATCATAATCATATAAAAATTAATTTATGTATTCTCTACCTTTAATTCATTCAAATACAAGATTGTATGTTTTACTACACTTCTGATAATTGAGAAATTTCACTCTGTATATATTTTGAAAATTCTGAAAATCTAGAAGATATGTACGATTTATTATATGCTATAAATAATGATAACATTTTAGATAATAATGATTAAATACCAGATATTTTATATAAAACAATTTTGTTATAATGGTCTATTAAAAGTTAAAAATAAAGTATATATATATTATACAGTCTTATACTACTGTATTATACCAAAATTCATAGGTAAAAGCTTGTCTGATGGCTAATAAATTCAATTTAATTGACGATTCTCCAGTCAACAGAACAAAAATTTTTTTTTTTATATAAATTTTACTATAAGCCCGAATGGCTTATAGTAAAATTTATATATATAAAAAAAAATTTTTGTTCTGTTGACTGGAGAATCATCAATTAATTTTACATTATAATAAAATAAAAAAGCAGTATAGAAGTATAGAACTTTATAGCCAAAAATAAAATCTAACTCTTGTCTGTTTAAAGGTAAAAGATACATACCATATTTGCGCATAATAGCAGGCTGGGGCATTAATTCGAATTTTGACTTTTTCAAAAATTTAGATATTTTGCTTAAAATATCGCCCATATGCGTCCTGAAATAACACGCACCCATTTTTTTATATAATTTAATCGTTTTCTAATTAAATTCTTTTTATAATATAAATAACAAAAAACACAATAAATACTACTGTCATAAAATGAAACCTGAATCTTATATAGTTATAGGATTTAAGAAGAACTTCAAACTATAAGTATTAAATTTAGTCCTTAACTATAACAAAAGCAAAAAACCTTCATATTTAACACAGTTTTTTATTACTAATACACTATTATTTATTATGATAATGATTAAAAATTATCTGATTACTAGGTAAATTTACATTTGCTTATTAAATGATAAGTTGCTCCACGATTTGTTAATGCAAATACATTACTTCATTCAATTCTAATAATTTACTTAATCATCAATTTATTTTTACAACTTCTGAATATTATTTGGTTCAGTTCAATAATTTATTTAATTATAAAATTCTTTTTCTATATTTATTAAAAATTTTACTAACTATAACCTGCAGTGATCATCACTGGTATATACTTAGCCAATAAAATTGCAGGATCAGGTGTAACATGCAAATCAATTTGTGTAACTAAAATAAGATTTTTTTTAAAAAAAATGCTGATATTTCAAGAATTCATCTATGAAACTACCTTCGACGTTCTAACAAAAAAAATTTCTCACTAAATTACACATATATTTAACACATTGCTAAAATCACAGGCCTTTCCCTAATTCTAAAGTAAATGAAATGAAATATTTTTTTAGTTTATCGTTATTGGCTTATTATATATCAGTGATGATCACTGCTGGTTATTTTAAGTAAAAATCATTTATTAAAATTCAATAGTGATAAAAAGTTATTTTAAATTAAAATTGCCTATACCGATATTAAATCACAAAATAAATACTTGATACTAAAATTAACTTACTTCATCAACGCAAAACATTGTTTATTAAAGTTCTTAATGTTTGCTTAATGCAAATGCAATTTTTGGTTCAATTGCTAATGACTTATTTAAATCTGACAATGCCTCTTTGTGTTTGTAGATCATTCGCATTATCACTAAAATCTTAAGCATTTATGTAATAGTATGTTTAACATACCAAATTTTGAACTTTTGTGATTTTTCATTTGTATTTCAGTGATAATCTATTTACAGTATTAATTATAAACTATTTGTTAATATTATTCAAAAACAAGAAAACATAATAAACTAATTTATACCTAAACAGTCTTAATATATATCAGTAGTGTTTCCTTAATAAAATTTTCCAAAGCATCATTGTTATCTAGAATAATAGTGCAAGCTAATATTATTTCATATTAAATTCCTGCAATTCTAACCTGTTTTTATTAATTTCTATCTGCGAAAATTTCTTATCACAAATTTTTGAATGAAAATTTAATTGAATAAAACAGTGCAAGCTTAAAAGAAAATGTAAATTTCTAACAAAAATTTACACTGCATTAACATTAGCCATATAATTTAAAGGTTATGCTCAGTTTGCGATACTTTAATTAATCTACTTTTCGTCAATATCTGTTTCATAAAAATTTTCAGATATCCCATCATCAACCATTTCTTCATCAAACATATTTCTTCATCAAACATCTTATCATTAGTTATTTCTTCAAATACCTTGTCATCAATAATCATCTCCTCATTATTATTAAACATTGCTTCATCTTTCTCATCAACTATCTCTTCATCAAAAGCTTCTTCATTACCTCCAGTAACTACCAAATCATTGCAGGTATCTTCTACATCTAAATCTATATTATCCATATGATTTTTAATGATGGCTTGTAAGCGGCTTGACATTTTATAATTCTCGCTTCCATTGGGATTTAATGTAATTCCAGCTGCCTCAAATGACTTGACCAATAATTCAGTATTAATTTTTTTCCATGTTTCTGAAACTCATTTACAAACTAGTTTATAAGATGCCTTCTTGAGATTTCCCTTTGCTGTATATTTTTTTTTACCCTCAGCCATCTATTTATTACATCTTTTACTAAGCCCACTCTTAAATAGCTTATTAACAGAAACGTCAGGTGTTGTAGCACACTGGTTGTTCCGCTAGGTATTTCTACAACTTCTAGGCCCTCTATCTTTAATGCCTTTACAACATTATCACAAATATGGCTTGCATGATGATCAATAAATATTATGCCTTTGTTTTTAAAAAATCTACCTGGTCGTGCCTAAATAACCTGAGGAATATATTTAGATAACATTAAATCACAATTCATAGTAGTATAAAGAGCTGCTGCCACAATGATGTTTTTTGGATAATTTTCTTTAGGCTTTTTTTGTAGCTTGAATAACACCAATGCCAGAAGTTTTTCTCCTGAAGCTGTGTAGTCTATGACTACTGTAAAGCATAACTTGTCATGTTTGGTCATTTTAACTAGAATTTTACATGAGCCTCAAAAATCGATAGTTGATTTACTTGGCATGTCAAACCATACTGGCATTTTGTCAAAAGAGATTATATATTGTTTGTCAATATCTTTTGTCATATTATATGCAATTTGAAAAAAGGTTTGAACTACTTGTGGCATATCCTCAGGAAACTTTTAGACTATCTGTATTCAAGTGTATTATACTAAATTATGATGTTGTATAAAGCGACTGATTCAGCCACTTGAAACTTTAAAATTTTGTATGCCAAATACTCTGCTTAGCTCTTTCACTTTTTTTTCTATCATGAGTGCTGTAACATTGTATTTTTCTTTATATTTTTTTTTCACAAATGATAGTAAATCTGATTCTAATGCAGGATACATTAGTTTTTGCCCACGACCACTAAGTGCCCATACTTGCCTTGCATTCAAATTTATATCACATTTGACTGCTTGAAGTTCTGACTTCTTTTTATTCCATTCTTGAACACGTTTTCTATCCACATTATAGAACTTTGCTGCACTGCGGTTAGACATACTTTCTGCATATGATATTACTTCTAACTTGAATGCTACAGTGTAACTTCTGTTTTTTTTAATGGTAAGTATATTACCTATATTCGAAAAGAATAACACGTAAAAAATAAAAAACCTGATTAATCTTTATATAATGTGCAATCATGAGATACACATATCAGATAAATTTATGAAATTTTATATTACTTATTAGTGATAATTATTAAAAATAATAATCTTAATTCTATAATAAATTAATTCTTTATACTTACTTAAAACTTCTTGATTATAGCTTTTTCATTTGTCAATTTTAAAAACTATAAACATGTAACTTAACA